TAGGGTGACGATTAAATTCATTTGAGAAAAAGCATTACATCAGCTTAAATCACCTAAAATTTACAAAATAATTTATCATGTAAGAGTTGTAAGTTGATTGTAAAAATTTTTGTTCTAGCAAGAAGTTAAAGCTCAACAGCAAAGACATACTATTACATCTCGTGGGATATATAATCAAGAAAAACATGTTGCTACTAGCTCACAAGCCACTTTTTCTATGGCTTCAAATTCATTAGGAGTTTCTTGTAGCAAGTCGACAGCTCGTCTGAGTACTTCAAATTTACACAATTCTCTAATAAGTTCTGAAAATATGTCGTTTTCAAATGCAATAGTTGATGAATTGCTTTCAGTATCTCTTGATGATTTAGATATTCTTACTTCTAACTCAAATCCTAAGGATGTTGAAATAGCAATTTCTAAATATTCTGAGTTTCTAAGTAAATTTATCGAATTTTTCACGACGAATAAGGAAAAGATCAATGTTGTAAAAAATGAAGCGCTCCTCTTACTCGACAAAGTTAGTCAAATCATAAGCAAAGCATGGGCAGTACCGACATATGGTCATGAATTAGGGTACACTCTGTGTAATACGCTTCGTATTAAACATGGGCTGGATCTTCTCATGACAAACTGTGTAGCTAATGATAATGAGTTACAGTTTTCATCAGCGCGTCTTTTAGAACAATGTTTAATCACAGAAAATCGTGCGCATGTAGTTGAAAATGGCCTAGAAAAGGTAGTGAATGTTGCTTGTGCATGCACTAAGAATGCTAATTCTGTAGAACACGCTCGTATTGGTACAGGTATTCTAGAACATCTTTTTATGCACAGTGAAGGAACGTGTAGTGATGTCATACGCCTTGGAGGTCTTGATGCTGTTCTATTTGAATGTAGAAAAAATGATGTTGAAACTCTAAGACATTGCGCTGGTGCCTTAGCAAATCTATCTTTGTATGGTGGTGCTGAAAATCAAGAAGCAATGATAAAAAGAAAAGTACCTATGTGGCTTTTTCCTTTAGCCTTCCATAATGATGATAACATTAAATATTATGCTTGCTTAGCAATAGCTGTTCTTGTTGCAAACAAAGAAATTGAAGCAGCCGTTCTTAAGTCTGGAACATTAAACCTTGTAGAACCCTTTGTTACGTCACACAATCCGTTTGAATTTGCAAAATCTAATCTAGCACATGCGCATGGGCAAAGTAAGAACTGGCTAGAAAGACTAGTTCCAGTGCTGAGTTCAATGAGAGAAGAAGCGAGAAATTTAGCTTCTTTTCATTTTTGTATGGAAGCTGGCATAAAAAAACAACAAGGTAATACAGAAATATTTCGTATGATTGGTGCAATTGAACCTCTCAAAAAAGTAGCGAGCTGTCCCAATGCCATTGCATCGAAATTCGCTGCCCAAGCTTTAGGACTCATAGGAGAAAAAATTCCTCACAAACTAAGTCAACAAGTACCTCTTTGGTCAACTGAAGATGTAAGAGAGTGGGTAAAACAAATAGGTTTTGAAGAATATGCAAAAAATTTTGTTGATAGTAAAGTTGATGGAGATCTTCTATTACAATTAGCAGAAGATAATCTTCGAGAGGATATTGGAATAACTAATGGTATAAGAAGACGAAGATTTACCCGAGAGTTACAGAATTTAAAAAAAATGGCAGATTATAGCAGTAAGGATACAGGGAATCTTAACAATATTCTTCTTATGATAGGCCAGGAATTTTCGATTTACACATACAGTATGCTTAATGCTGGAATTTACAGAGATTACCTTAAAAATATTACTGAAGATCAACTTTTGACGGAGTGCGGAATAACAAACAGTATACATAGGCTAAGGATATTGGATGCAATTAAAAACATTCAACATAACCAATTTAATCCAAATGAAAACGAGTCCCCAGATAAATCATTGGATGTTTTCGTTAGTTACAGACGATCGAACGGATCACAACTAGCCAGTTTACTTAAAGTTCATTTACAACTTCGAGGATTTTCAGTATTTATTGACGTTGAAAGATTAGAAGCTGGAAAATTTGATAATAACCTTTTGCAAAGTATCAGACAAGCAAAGCACTTTTTACTGGTTCTTACACCTAAAGCCCTAGAGAGATGTATAGAAGATACAGAATGTAAAGATTGGGTACACAGGGTAATAAGATAATGTAAGATAATAAACAAAGTTTAAAAAAAATAATTTCTCTAAACTGACATTTTATTTAAGGAAATCGTTGCAGCACTACAGTCGCAATGCAATATTATTCCAATTATTGATAATTTTCAATGGCCAGAACCTGAAGAGCTTCCTGAAGATATGAGAGCTGTTTGTCATTTTAATGGAGTTCGATGGATCCATGATTATCAAGACGCATGCGTTGACAAACTTGAAAGGTATTAAGTCACATTAAATTATACTTCATTTTTACATTCAATGCTTCTGTAATTTTATAATTCATTTTTTAATAGCCTCCTTATTTTCCCCTTCGTGCCATTTAATTTTCTGTAGTATTATTTGTAGAAATAATAAATTTTTAATGATTTTTTTAGTCTTCTTCATAATCTTTAAGATTACATGTTGAATTTGCGTCAAGTTACAATTACAACACATATTGATCTCTAGCCCTGAAACATCTAGTTAAAAAACTATATCTAAGCGATAGAAATCATCCTGGGCTAAATTGAGATCAAAATTTTTACAATTCATAAGAAAATTGTAAGCTTATAGTACGAATTAACATGCCTAGTTTTTATCTCGGTGACCGTTACTTCACTGAACTACAACGTCGATTAAAAAAAAAAAAAAATTATTGTTTAAAACGGCCTGTGAGTTCATCATATCCTAACATTAGTTAAAATATATTATTTAACAAAAAGAAATAATCTAATAGGGTAGAAGGTGAAACAGACGATGTCTGGGTACAGAGGATTCCTAAGAGACTCTGTAAAGTAAGGTGTGCCAACTAGGAAAGTTCAAATAAAACAGTGGGCACGTAGTCTATGGCAGACTTAATGACAAGTCGTAGATAATAAGGACGAGTAGTCAAGTAAAAAAGTGAGGTGGTAAAATTTGGATGAGTCATTCAGAGCATTATACAAACATTAAAGCCTCATTTCTTGAAAACACTAAGTGACCAAAAGAAAAAGCAGATAGATGAGTACTCTATAAAAGTTTAACGTATTTGCAATTAACTGTTTAAATACTGTATTTAATCGTCTATGATAGTACAATCGTATAAGTAAACGTTATATCAATAGATCTTGACTACAATATATCTAACTCTTGTTAATCTCTTGCTTTTACATCAGCAGATATAGTCAGAAACTGCAATAATGAAGTGTATAAAAAGATGAAGCTGATGATACAACACCACAAAAAAATCAGAGTACGAATAAACTAAAGTAAATTTGTCATATTTTTTGATGTGCTAAATCTGAGTCTAGTGTCCAAAATAATTCGTCACGTCATAATTTCAACCTCACCTCAAACATGCTGGAAATAAACGTAAAAACGGCTTAACACAAATATTGAGTATGAAGTAAGTTATAACAATACTTATGGAAAAAGAATTATATTTTCAAAGGTGACAGTATTTTTTAACAAAGTTTTGTAGGCTCTCACTGTCTGAAAATTGTTTTCTATTGTGTAAAAACTTCAGCAGGTTGCACAACACCTAAAATTATATGTACACAAACAATTTTTTCCTACAAAATTACGATGTATATTAGATGATCCTTTTCCTTATACATCGTTCAGTGCTTCATTTCAATCTACAGATAAAATTGGTAAACTGTGATATAATGTTAAAGTTACTTCAAAAAGATCAAAAAAGAGCTTCAAACCACTAAAAGTCGGTGTAGACTTAAAATTGTTACCATGTGCTAGTCATCGCAGAATTAAAATTAAATATTATCTAAGAATGCTTGTATTAATAACAGTATATTATTTTTATTCATTTAGAGGTTCATCTTTTCTATACACTTATAATACCAAAATCACTAAAATTTATCTTAAAGTGGAAAAATACAAGTGAAAATTTAGAATTAGGAAACTAAAGTTGTCTATAAAATAGTCTTATTAGAATTTTGGTGTGCCAATTAAAAACTTTTCAAATTTTCTCTGTTTTATCACAGTTTTTATGTTATCTAAAAACACTGAGCATTTTTTTTCAACTGTTCGTAAAAATAATAAGAAATTGAGATAGTGAAGCTAAGTATACATTTTTCGAATTTTTCAAAACTATTAGATGCCAAACCAGTGCAGAAATTTTTTGTGGTCAGAACTTTATTTAATATAAAGATTTTAAGAATAAAATAACTGGAAATGAAAAAATGTCATTAAAATTTTTAAGGAGATAACGCTTGGCTTTTAAAAAAACACAAAAAATCTAGAGTATAAAGATATCGTTCAAAAGCTGCTTGACACTTTACATCAATTAAGCTACCTCGTCAGTTGGACAATACATTGGACTTTTATTAATAATATCTTGGTTTCTTCTTTGCAAAATTTTTCAGAAAATTTCAGTGATTTTAGCAAAAAGTTGGAAGAGATTACATTAAGATCTGAAGAAATCCATGAAGTTTGGAGTAAAAAAATTTTAGCTAACTGTTTAGTTTAAACGTTATATTCATTGCGCTACATTTACATCAACTTTCTTTTTGTTACATTAGGAACGTTTTTCTTGTTCTACTATCTCTTTACGTGCAAAATTAAAACAAAGACTTACACCTGTAATAAGCTCATGTTTATCTTTTCTTAACCGCTAGCTATTTTCACTCTATTATTTCAAATTATAAGTCCAAAGGCTTGAGACATTCAAATTCAACTGTTCTGTGAAACAGTCAGTCAGTTCACGGCCACTGTTTAGAACGGTTTTCTCACAGCAAGCATTTATAAGTAATTTTCTGTTAATAAATTTGTACATAGCTTAAAGCAACGTAACTATTTATTAACTTGCTGATCCCGATTCTTACTAGTGGCAATTGCCATCCCAGCATTACTTCCCAGCGTAAATATTTTGGTAGCAGAGCGTGGTTCCTGGGACCATTAAACCGTTGGTGTAGAGTCAGGACTTGCAACATGTGCTGACTCTAAGTTCGGCTGTGACCTATTCGGTATTGACCGTGTTGTGTGAGCATGCTCGTGAACGACTTCACATGTTTGAGTGCAGTGTGGACGACTTCCGTTACCGAATCGTCAATGCGGGTGGTCGTTAACTTCGACGCACTTCTGCTCGTTTGTCACGCGCGCTTCATGGCAGTACTGAGTTTGCCATGTCGTCGGACTTTAAACCACTTTCCAAAAAACAAGGCGAGTTGTTCTAGCGGATAAACAATGCATACGCGAATCTGAAAAAGCTAAGCCAAGGAAAATTTGTACGTAATATTCATAAATATAATTCAAGGCCGCTTAGAGCAGTTGAGAGCCAATTGGGATATCTTTCAAATAAATCACGATAAAATTCTTGCACTTCAAGACGATGCTAAAAAAACAAGCTATTTTAGAGGTAATAACTATAGTACTACAGAGGAGGCCTATTTCGATTTGGCTGCACTTCTTTCTGAGGAGGTGCAGAAGCTTCCTGTGCCACCAGAAAGTGACAAAATTGTGTCTTTGGTTGCGCCAAGAAGTCTTCTAACTATAGCTGTTCCAACGTTTTGAGGCAAGTTTTCAGACTGGTTAGAATTCAAGTATCTGTTTGAAGCTATCGTTGTGCGTGGTTCTCGGCTAAGCAACGTCAAGAAGTTGCAGCACCTTAAGACATATGTCCAGGATGAAGCAGCGGAATCACTGCCTACGGTGCAAACGATCGATGTGAACTTTGAAGCTGCATGTAAAATGCTTGATGACCATTACACAAACAAGCTTGGTCTCCGTATTTACCAGGGATTTGCTTTCCGTGCCAACTGCATCAGACTCCGCAAAAGAGTTAAAGGCATTACTTACAGGCACCACGAATGCCTTAACTGCACTAAAACAGCTAGACCGTCCTACTGCTCATTAGGATGATCTGGTAGTGGCGATGATGATTTGGAAGCTTGACGCACGGGCTCTGTGAGTATGGGAGTCCTCGCAGAGCTCTACCACCGAACCTCCTACCTTTGCTGCTATGAAGCTCTTCATCGAATAACGCGTGTCAACGCTTGAGATTGTTGAAGCCACTGTAGAGATGTTGACTCGTAAGAAGTTCGGAAGTAGCTCTGCCTTCGTGCACAACAGCGTAAGCGAGAAATGTTGCCTGCGCAAAGGCGAGCATTTTATCATGCACTGCGTTAAATTCAACTCCAAAATTCTGCAAGAAAGAAAGCAAGTCGTTGAAGCTAAAGTCCTGTGCGTAAGCTGCTTGGGTATGCACACGCTTGTAAGCTGTAAGTCAAGCAAGCGTTGTCAGACTTGCAACGGCAACCACCATTCCATGCTGTATGAGACTGCAACTTCTGTGCACTTTTCAGCATCTGCTTGGTCGGTGGCGCTTGCCAAAGGATGCCGTATCAGTTGCAATATTTGCAACTGGCTTGCTTTGTTAGTCAACTCTACGTTACTCCCTACTGTCTTAGTCAAGACGCAAGGCTCTGACGGTCGCTCACATATAGCACGTACTATGCTGGACAGCAATTCACAGCAGTCGTTCGTTGCAAAAAGCTTGCTCAAAAAGCTCGAGAATTTGAGAAAAGCTACAACTCGTGAGATAACTGGCGTTGGTGGCACCAAGGATCCGCAAGTTCGTGGGCAAGCTAGCATCACTCTTACTTCAACCAATGGCAGTGATGCGAAGCTAATGCTCAATGCCTTGGTCCTTTCACTGATCAGTAAATACAGACCTGGCACACTCAAGCTTACCAGCAATTGGAACTACCTTTAGGGCCTAGAGTTGGCCAACGACTTTTGTGAGAACCCCGTGGAGATCGAGTTGCTGCTCGGAGCCGATATACTTCCCCAAATGCTGCAAGAAGACTTACGAGTCGGACCGGCAGGGACACCTCTAGCCCACTGCACTATCTTTGGTTGGGCGCTCTCTGGTCCTGTGTATGCATAAATATCGCTAGTGCTTGCTTCTTATTCAGTGACTTCGATAAAGACCTTATTTCTTTTCTCTTGTTTACATTAATTATGCATTTATATTCCGTTTCATTCACTTACGTAATAGGTGGGTGGTATGTTCAGTTTGAACGTTACATTTATTGTGTGGATTATGGTTGAAAACCTCGATGGTTATAATGTTGGAAACCAGTTTTAGCTTCATAAACATATTTTTTGGATAGTGATTTGTGTATTATCAACTACTGTAGTAAATTTTTTAATTAATGTAAAAAAGGGCTATCATTTAGGATCTTTGTTACAACAGCTGTCGTGTTTCCGTTTTGCGTTAAATTTTTTTTTTTTTTTTAAGTTA